GGAGCTGGGGAAGGATCTGGAGCACGTCTTACGAGGAGCTGAGGGAGGTGCTCAGCCTGGAGAAAAGGAGGATCTGGGGAGACCTTATCGCTCTCTACAGCTCCCTGAAAGGAGGGTGCAGAGGCAGGTGCTGGTGTGTTCTCCCGGGTAACTGGTGATAAGACAAGAGGAAATGGCCTCAAGTTGCGTCAGGGGATGTTTAGATTAGATATTAGGAAAAATCTCTTCACTGAAAGAGTGGTCAGGGATCGGAACAGGCTGCCCAGGGTAGTGGTGGAGTCACCATCCCTACAGGTGTTCAAGGCACGTGTAGAGGTGGTGCTTGAGGACATGGTCTAGTGGGTACGGTAGTGTTGGGTTGATGGTTGGAATGGATGATCTTACAGGTCTTTTCCAACCTTAGTGATTCTGTGAAATAAAAGGAAAGGTAAGAAGTGTCTCAACTTACCTTTGTAAGAGATTTGTAGTTGTGAGTTTGAATTAATGTGTGAGGCTTCATTTAAAAAAAGTGACTGAGAAAATGTTAGGGAAATGGTAAATCTGTTCCTTCATTTTCTCAAGTAGTGGCATGTGCTGAGTGAGATCTGTCTTATTAAGAAATGTCATGCAAATTAGTTTGCAAAGTCTGCTGCTGCCTCAGAATTTATTTAAATTTTTTTTGGTAAAATCCTCTGAAGTGCTTTTCGACACCGGGTCCCTTCAAAAATTGTAAGCCTTTTCAGGTTACAAATTCAAGGAAAAATAATGTCTGTTTTCACAAAGGGAGATGTAATGGTGTGAGTACATAGACAATCCCATGTAGGGATCCAGTTGGAAGAGAGCTGAGCTCCATGGTGGAGGTGCTGTAACCGGAACGAGGAGGCTATGAGCATGTGGTCTTACTGCATATGGGACAGGTTGATGGGTTGAGTTTCTGTTGTTTCTGGTCTGCTCTTCCCTAGCATGAGCAGGCACCGGGCAAGTGATTTGGTCTGCTTGGGGTGGGTGGCGAGTCAGCCTTGTTGCTGCAGAGCTGAGCCGTGGGGTTGTCCCTGAGGACAAGATGGTCAAAACCAGTACCTCTTTTGTGTGATCAGGAGCAAGTCCTCCTCCCAGTCCCAGCAGTGCCAGCTTTTAGTGTGTTGCCTGTTCTCACTGAGGATGCAACAGCTTCCAGGAAGAGAATAAGTCAAAAGGCATGACCTTAAATCCATGCATCTGGGGTACAGAGAAATGAGCTTGAGGTTGTAGGAAAAGTTACTGTTGATAATTTACTGTGTGGTAATGGATTAAAGACATCCTGTTTCCCATCAAGATCTTAAAGCATTACACATTTGTTGACACCTTTATATTATGTTTTCCAGCCATATAAAATGAAAGTAACTCTGTGTGAATATAGGAATGGGTGTGAAAGAAATCTATGAACCCTGTCCTTTTACTTCCTTGCTATGAGGAAACCAACAGTGAACTATTGACTGTTAACTAGGGCAGCATTTCCATTCCAAACAAAGCTACTCACTGTGTTTTCACTGCAGCCTGCAGTTTGGGAAATACTTTGCTATCCCTCCTCATTATATGGGAGACAAACATCTAAACACTTCTGTAGTTCTGTAGTGTTGCATTAGTCCATAATTGGAAACTTAATTGACAAGGCTACTTGAATAAATATTTTAGTCAGCTCTATTAGTGACTTCTGTAATAAAGCTGTGATTAAAAAAAAGTGTGTAAATTCATTTCTAACCAGGCAGAACGTGTTTTTAAGCACAGATTGGGAACCACGAATATTAGTGCCTTATCTGTAGTGAAGTGTTCCAAATACTGTAACAGGAAGAAGAACTGAGAGTTCCCACATGACAAATTTTCATTATTCCATTGATCTTTAGGAATTGGATAGCAAAATAATAGGTTGTTCTATGTGTTGGAGGGAGATGGCAGGGTTCAGTTTTGCAAACACATGGGTGTATATCCAGATACTATTTAATAGAAAGCTGGGGTGGTGGACTCAGAAAACGTGTAGATGTGCCAAAGTGCCAGCATTTTGGCTTAGGACACATGTAGAATAGTTGATTAAAGAGAATTTTTGCATTGTCTGGCTAATAGAAAATTGGGGATAGTGGAGAGAGATGAGGTACCAAGTCATACCTGGGATGCTCTTGTCTGTTTAAATAGGAGTAATTTTTAGGCTCTGTTGATTTAAAACTTTCAACCATGCTTTTAAAGGAATTTACATGCAGATATGTCTTGTGCTTTACTGTTTGTTTCCTTTCAAAAAACTGAAACTTGAGTATTTCTTGTAAATCGGGCATAAGATCCTGAATGTGAGTGTACACTGTGTGCAGCTGTGCATGGCTTAGAGTCTCCCAGCTGAATTCAACCCTAAACATGCTGGATTTGCTTGGCTGCTTTTCTTTGTAGTGTTATAACTAGAGTGCTAACAAACCAGTCCCTGCATGTGATTTGAGCATCAGTGCTGACCCTCCAAAGTTTCTGCTGTGAACTCTTCTGGTTAGCTTAGGTATTGAGCACTGCAGTCTAAAATAGATGTAGATAACGCTGACAGCAGCTGCAGGTCAGTTTTTTGCAGTGTCCTTCTGGTCTTGAGGCAAAAATAAAAAACCCTTTCCTTCCAGACAACTGTAAAATGGGGAAATTTGGGAAAAGTGGATGCACTTCACAAAACTAGAACATTTTCCAAGCACTTCATTGGAAAGTTTTCACATTGGGTGACTTTCTGGTTTTGCATCACTGTAGTGTTCTCTGTTAGGAGTGTGTGAAAGTGGGGCAAGTACCAGTTAGTTGCAAAGGCCAGCTGAGCTGTCTGGCCCTTTGAGCAAGAATCATTGCTTAGTATGGTTCAGTTTTAGACTTCTCAGGCTGCAGATATTAGAGCTACAGGACTTCATTCAGCTATGCTGCATATACATGCCATTAAAAGTGTGATGTGATTTTGTCTGTAATCTGAATAGTGTAAACATATTTCAGAATCAAGATACTCTCACTGCAGATGCTTTTCTGTAGTATTTTGACCACTGTCTGAACGTTTTTTTGATGTGCTGGGACATTGATACTTAGAGTAATGCTTTTGGGTGAGCTTTAATCTGGAGGGGGAAAAAAAAAAAGGCAGCTCTTGTAATCTGATTTTGTAGGGCAGATTAGAACTGTTGCTTAGATCTCTTAACAAAGATAAGATGGCTTAGTTGTTAATGATCTTTTTCCCTGTATGAAGTGATATATGTGAAAAATAAAACAGAAATGTCTCTTTGATTAAGAACAAAAATCCTGTTGATGGTTCCAGTGTATGGTTGATACTGGTAACCACCATCTGGGGTGTTGAATGATGTTTGAGTAGCCTAAGACATTGTTTCATTAGCTCTGCTATTAGCTATTTTTTTAATTATTGCTGGCTGCTGAAAACATGCAGGTCTGAGTTTTGATCATGACATTTGGTCTCTAAAGGCTGTATCAAAGTAGTTAATGTTGCAGGTGCAATACATGCTCAAAATAATTTTTTTTTGTATTGTTTTGTTTAGCCTACAAGCCCCAAGTTTGGAAAAGCAGACTCCTATGAAAAACTGGAAAAACTAGGGGAAGGGTCCTATGCTACAGTATATAAAGGGAAAAGCAAGTAAGTGGTGTTTGGGGTTTTTTTTCTTTTAATATTGTGTGTAAATGAAGATAAGCAGAAAGTATTAACTGATGTTGCTACACTAGTATATAAATCTGTAGGAATGAATGCAAAGTGCTACTGACTGCCATGTGCTATAGTGAAAGAGGCTGAGACCATATTGCATAGGTAACATATGCTCTTCAGAACAGGATGAGATCCCATCTTGTGGATCTGATATTTTGTTTTTATTTTAATGTTGTACTACTTTCTCAATATCCGTACTAAATTACATTTTAGGGTTAAGAGCCCAATACACTCTCAGGTAGATTTTTCTGATGTTCTGAGAGCAATGCTGAAGATATGCAAGTTGTCTTTTGTTTGTCATTATTAAAAAGCTTGAATAACATAATGTGAAGGGAATGAATGGAATTTTGGTCTATTTTAAGTTTAGTTTGTTTACAATCATTGCAACTACTCCACCTCAAAGTAATGTACTGTATACATGTCAAATTTTTTTTAAGCTACTTTAGTGTTATCTGTTGACACTTTTTTACTCCCAATGCCCTAAGTGTTTCTATATTGTATAAAATAACTCAGTAAACACACTTAAAATATATTTCTTGAGCTAGTGCCTCAGTTCAGCATTATCTTTTTTTCAAGCAGATGGTCTTGTGCAAGTTCATATATTTAACCAAGTTTTCATAATCAAAGTTTCAATAATAATAAGGCAGTTCTGAGAGAGGGATTGGGTACAAGCAATGTCTTTATTTAAAAACTTTGTCTGGTGAATGGTAGATGAGGCAACTTGCCATTCTCAGCAGAGAGGGTATCATGACAGTCATGGGACAGAATAACTGCTGAAACAAGGGAATACGTATTAACGTTTTCCAGGGTCAGTAAGTTCAGTAGGCACTGAAAATTATTTTTTTCACTGAGTATTTGTAATCAGAACGAGGGGTGTCCTCATCTCTCAACATCTTTGATGAGAATATTGGCAGCTGATACAAATAAAAACGTGTTCTAAATGTGAAAGAAGTATTTACACATCTGCCATTTCAGGACATGTATCGTCTTTCACTGGCAGCTTTCTTCAAGAAAATGCAGTTAAACTGTATTGTTAATGGTTCAGTTACGCATCACCATAAGTTGCAGACGTTACACATATGTAAGCTTTTTACTGGGGTCTGTGTAATATGAGAAAACCATATAGATTTCGACTTGTGCCTTATTACTAAAACCCTTTAAAAATCGTAGCACATATCTGGTGATAGTTATCCCATATGCCTTGGCTCTTGATAAGATTGAACTGAGGCAACAGGCACTGATGTCTTTGTCCATCAGTGGAACAGCCTGAAAGTTAAAAACAAAGTAAACAACTTCCCTGAAGCTGTTTCATTCAGTGATGATTTGTGAACGTGTTACGAAACATAGATTGGTTAGACAAAGTAATTTGTTTTAGTAGAGCTGACTGCAGATCTGTAAGAAATAATTCAATGATTTTAATGGTACTTGAATAATTGAAATTACTGGTCTCTCTGCATTCTCCATTATAAATAGCAAGCTCTGAATAAGTAGTGTGAATTATAGCAATTATATATAACTTTATTCTGCTGTTTTGTAGCTTTTGTAAGGTCTTTTAAAATGTGTTTTGAAAAAGGTGTGTGTAACTAGAATGTGGGTAAGAGTGCATATACAGAGAATATTCCTAATGTTGTAGTAACATTCCTTTATCTTCCTAATTTTCATTGAGTCATAGAATAGCTTGAGTTAGAAGGGACTTTTAAAGGTCTTCTAGTCCAACCCCCCCTGCAGAGCGCATCTTCAACTACATCAGTTTGCTCAGGGCCCCGTCCAACCTGACCTTGAATGTTTCCAGGGATGAGTTGTCTATCACCTCTCTGGACAACCTATTCCAGTGTTTCACCTCTCTCATCATAAACAATTTCTTCCTTTTTTGTAGTCTAAATCTACTCTCTTTCAGTTTAAAAACATAACCCCTTGTCCTGTCACAACAGGCCCTGATAAAAAGTTTGTCCCCATTTTTCTTGTTCGCCCCTTCAAGTACTGGAAGGCTTCAATAAGGTCTCCTTGGAGCCTTCTCTTCTCCAGGCTGAACAAGCCCAACTCTCTCAGCCTGTCCCCATAGCAGAGGTACTCCAGCCCTCTGAGCATCTTCGTGGCCTCCTCTGGACTCACTCCAGCAGGTTGATGTTGTGTGGGACTATGTCAAAGGCTTTACAGAAGTCCAGCTTGATGGCATCCATAGCTCTTCCCTTGTCCACTGGTGTAGTCACTGTCAGAGAAGGCCACTAGGTTGGTCAGGCAGGATTTGCCCGTGGTGAAGCCATGCTGGCTGTTTCAAATCACCTCCCTGTCCTTCATGTGCCTTAGCATAGGTTCTAGGAGGACCTGTTCCCAGGCACTCTTTTTTTCCCACTGAGGACTGAATAATTTCCATATTACACAGAACTGTCCAGGTTTAGCATGTCCAGATTTCTGTTTCTTGAACTAGGGAAACGGTTGAACTACTTCATAGCAGGAGGAGGTTATTCCTTAAGAGCAAGGGAATGCTATAAGGGCTGTCTGCTATTTCAGAAGGTGGTGTTGGTTGACATGATGTGGTCCTGTTACCTCTTCTGTCCCCATGAGGAACTGAGGAATCTCTGGCCTGGATGGCATTCCCAGAGAAGAGAGAGCATCACTGCTACAACGTGGTACTGGGGAAAATAGATGGACAGGGGCGTGGTGAATGGATGGGCCTGTGTTTGCTCCATCCATTCCATGAGAGCCTAACTTTGCTTCTGCTTTTCTGGCAGATTGGTTCTGACTGTTTATACCTGTATCTAAAATGATACAGGACTTTTCTCCTAGCACCTAGTGTAGGTATGTAAGGTGAGATTCTGATATGCATCACTGTGTTCCCCTGACTGCAGGCTTAGTGGGAAGAAAAATGAGCAAAACAGGTCAAAAGAGGGCTGTTTGTTTTGGCATGTGCCCAGTTTTGACTGCTGAAGGATTAAGCCTTCATGGCACACTGCAGAATGCAGACATGACAAGTACTTGGAAAAGCTGGTAATACTTGCACAACAAGTGCATTTTGGTCAAAATGCTTGAGAATCCCTAACTTTCTCATTTTGTCAAAATGTTTCCGAAATGTGTCCTTAACTGTTGTTGAAGATGGAGTGTTTAAGGTCAGTTGAGCGTTTTTGAGTGATGCTTTGTGCTCAGAATTATTGTGCTTAATATTTATCACCAGCTTGCATGTGGCAAGTAGTGGGGTTTAGGGTATTTTAAATGCATTTCCTGAGATATATTTCAGCTTTTTAAATTATTTTCCCTGCTGATCATAATAATGGAATAAAAAATTAATGATCTTACAAAATCAGCCATTCCTTTCCTAAAATATAAAGTAATGTGTGTAGTAACTTGCTTTCAGAGAAGTCTGACTTTTCATAACTTGGAGCAGGTTCGGTGGTACCAAGTCCTTGCCTTCCTATGAAACCCATTACTTTTCTATTTGAGTATTTGGGGCAGTATCCTAGGAAAGTGAAATGAAGTGAGCTAATTCCTCTTACTGGATGATGGATTTCTCTTTTCTTGGTATTCAGATAAAACTGGTTCCCTGGAGTGAGGAAGCAGCAGGGTGAACAGGACTCTGTTATTGAGGGAAGCGAAGCCGTATTCTCCCGTATGGGCCTTTTTGTTTATTGTCGAAATAGCCAAGCAGCCATTTGTTTCTGGCTGACAGTTGCATCAGTAGGGAAATCTATTTGATTTCACGTGTTGCACTTCAGGCGTGCATAATGGAACTCAGCTTGGCATGGTCATTTTCTGCTTTGGCTCAGGCTAGATACTCACATGTTACTTTGTTGTATAAAAACCCAAGAGGCTGCTTACTACGTGAAATTCAGATCACTTTGAAGTGATAACTGTGATAACTGCTTTTTTTTAATGTAAAATTTTGGAGAAGTAGGCCTAGTAATTTACAGATAACACTGTAAAAAAATGGTACAAGTTCCATTTACTCCGTGTGTGGCTAACTCCTTGAACATTGGCCATACAGTGGGTGCAAAGCCGTAGGTGCCTTTTGAATTCCTGTTATCATTTCATTGTGTGGTTGAGCTGAAGAAGTGCTATCTGCCTCTGTTGACATGTTTATCTTCCTGCTGCCGTTGACCTTCTTCCCTCTTGAGCTTGATTATAAATTTACCTGAATATACTGCAATGGAATCTGGCTTGATCTGTGGCACATAAATGTTGATGTGAGTTATGAGAGTCTGGAGATGAAGCTGGTGACAGCGCTGGGGAGCTGCTGCCAACCAGAGCCTGCAAAGCAGTGTGGAGGCCTTGCATCCCCACACTGAGAACCCTGCATATTGCACTTAAGGGAAAAACCTGTGCTTTTGGCAATATTATGAGTTGGCATGGTTTCCGTCCTCTCCTCCCACTGTGTTTAATTGCCCTTCAAGGCAAAGAATTGAAAAAGATTACCTCAGTTAAAGTGATGTGATCTGTGACTGCTGCTTGCACAGCATGCATCTGTGTTTTGAGAGGCAAGCCAATGGTATCTCCTCTGCTTCTGCACCGCTCTGATCCTGATCTCCTTCTTGTTTGTCCATGTGATTTTTAGCATACCATTACTTTTTTTGGCACCTTTACTACGTTGCGTGTGCTGGAAGTACTACAGAAATGTGTAGAATTTGTAACAGAGAGCTCGATCAACATATTTTTGCCTAATTTCCCTACCAGAAAATTACATAATTTCAATTTATCCCTAATAAAATGCTTGTCCTAATGAATTCTGGTCCCTATCCTTTTTACCTATTGCTACAAGAAATGGGTAGAGTGCATAGCAAGAGCATAGGAGAAGCTGATGCTGTCAACCAGAGTTCAAAGGCTGCAGAGGTAGGGCGGTGTTTCAGTTGAGGTACCTCTCCCATTTCTGTTTGAAATCTGAATTTTTTCGTGTTCAACATGATTTCAACGTATACTCAAAGATAAAAGGTATTTTTTCAGGT